TTGAACCCTTACGTCCTTTATGTCCCTTAATCTTCTGGTATTGCCAGTCTACCGTATATTATCATAAGTTCATAACTATGCACCTATGGAATTTGGTTTTATTGTTACGTAGTAACTTGCTTACTACACAATCATTAGGATTAACTGTAGGTATACTTAGTAGTTAGTAGCTACTTACCAAGACATAATCAAATTATTGATTAAAAACAATTTAATATCTGTTTTCTAAATGTACATGGCTTATAATTTATAAATATGTATATTGTAAAATAGGTATAAATAGATACAATAGGTACAATACCGGCTATATCAACTTAGGCTTGGGCCACACGATGCGTTTTTTCCGCAGTCATCGAATGCGGAAATTCCGCATGCGGCAGGGTTTGAAACGAAAACACATTGTTTTAAATACGAGCGTCCACACGACGCGGCATACCCGGAAATTTCCGTGACCTGCCGCAACATGCTGCTGAAATGTCGTATTGCCGAAACCGGACACAAATGAAAATAACATTATTTTAAATTAAGCCGTCCACACGGTCCGGTATTCCGCATGCGGTGCTGAAAATGTATACTTAAATTGTATTGGTGAATAGTGCTAAAAAATTTTAAAATATGTTTGATTATGAAAAAATGATTATTGAAATTGAGCCGAGTCCATGCTTATGTGATGTCGGATCAAAAGAGTATAGCTACAAACATTTAAAGGCCTTTTCTTTGAATTCAGTCGCTGAAGCCATGTATGCCGATTTTAATGAGCTTTTGCCATCACAAAAAGATGAAAGAGGTATGTTAAAATAATTATGCCTAATCCTTTAACATTTTTACTTTGGTAATTAAATTATTATTTTTATTTTATTTCTATACCTGCCTATCTGCCTACTCAATTAATTTTGAGTAGGTACCTATACATAATACACTACTTGTTATTACCCTCTACAACTTAATTGTACTTAATCTAATAAAGTACAGTTATTATTTAAAAAAACAAAATAAAATACAATAATAGTACATTTAATTAACCTTTTTTTAACCTTATCTATCACATCAGTCTAGGTAAAATATTACCCAATATATAAAAGTCGATTAGGTACAAATAATTTAGGATAAACAATTAAAATTATTAAAAAAAAGTGCTCTGCTGTACAGTAGGTTACAAGTGGGTTACTGTATAATGGATAGTATTAAATTTGAATTCAATGATATAATATAATTGTATAAGAAAAACGATTCTGAGCGGAGACGGTATGTCAGTCTAGGTAAAAGACATATTATATAGGTACTTATCTATGGTATTAAAAAAAATTGTCCTATAATAGTTAGGTCCCTATAATAAATTCCAAAATTATCATATCACAATATCCATTAGGTACTTATAACGCGTTATAAATAAACAACAAACCCTGGTACTATCATAGTTATATAATAGTGTACTTTAGAAGTTTCAAGTACCCACAAATATTATTATAAAATCACAAAAAAATAACTATAATAGTTATTCTAGGTTTTTTATAGTTAGGTTAGTTTGAACTTAATATAAATATAAAAATAAACTGTGCTTCTGTATTTTTTAGACTTTTTGGTAACAGAATTAACTACTTACGTGGAATCTTGTTTTAAATTTTCAATCCTTAGATATAAAAGTTGAATATTTTATAAATTTTTAACTACAAAATAATTATTCAATTTTAAATTTGATAAATTTTGTCAAAAATTGATCTTTAAATGCTTATAAAAAAAAACCTGTGCCTATGTATTTTTAATATTTTTCAACTGCTATTGTAACAATATAGCAGGAGCCTTGTATTAATTTTTTACACTTTTTGGCCCAATACAATAGTTATAGTAGATGGTAAAGATAAATTTCTGAATATTAAAAATTCGAAACTTTATTTATCATTTGAATATGTAAAAAAAGATGGTGCTAAATATCCAGCAAAATCTAATGTTATGATAGGTATCTGATAATGCTGGAGAATTTTTGTTTCAAAAAATTGCAATTAAATTAAATAATAAAATTATAGATGAGAGTGAGAATACCGGAAGAAAAAGTACAGTAAAGGTAATATGAGTTATACTGTTAATGGAAATGGTCCTACACAAATTTCAGGATTTCAATCTACATCTGAAGGAGGAGGAAATGTCGAGCTCATCATTCCTTTATCACACTTTGGTTTAGGATCGATGAAAGATATAAAAAGTCCTCTTTACAATGCTAGATTTGAAATAATTTTTACAAGAAACACTGATGATGATGCGTTGATTCTAGAAACAAACACTGAAGCTACAGCAGATACAAAAAATATTAAAGCAAAACGTGGTAAAATTAATATTTTAGAATTAAAAGTTCAAAATCAAAATGTAATGTATTAAGTAACACCAATTAATATTTTATATACTTTATTGTTAACAATGTGATTGATATGTTTTAGAGTTAAGTTAATATCTTAGAATTAAGATTTACATCATGAGTGATCTCTCAGAGAGCCTCTTATACGAGAGCATGGGTTTTATCATGATGTCTGGCAGTTTGATAAGATGTGTGATAACTTGTCTATCAGTTATCACACATATTACTTCACTGATACATTCATATATTACATCTCTCTGAACATTTTTTTTTTTTTTTTAGATAATTACCTTGATAACTAACAACTTTAAATAAAACCAATGTATCAACATCACAGAATATTTTTATTATTTTTTTTTATTTTTTTTTAATTTTTAATTTTTTATATTTTATAATTTATTTTTTGAATTTTTCTCCCAAATCTGTTCACTTTATATTTTGAATCTTCCTCTTCATTTACTGTTTTTGAATCACTATTCTCCTCCGCTATAATCTCTGCCTCTATCTTATCATCATTTTCTTTTTCTTCATTTAAATTCATTTTTTTATTTGACCAATATTTATTTTTCAAATTATGTTTTATTAGTTTATTTTTATTGTAATTAGCTGTATTCATATCATGTGCAGATCTTGAGATTTTTATATCTACTTCATTTCTTCTCTTAATTCTATTATTTTGGTCTCTTAAAATAATTGACCTTGGTGCCTTGTGACGTTGAATAAATTTAGCAGGTTTCCAGATGTTCCTCAAAAACTATGTCTTCGTTATTATTTATATCTAATTCTCTGTCTTTTGAATTTTTATCATAATGGTATTTTTTTGTTTCATTCTTCTCTTTCAATATTTTATTGAAATTTTCTATTATTTTGGGTTTTAGTAATTCATCTTTTATTGGAAGTTTTGTCTTACATATTCTACTTAATAGTAATTGAGCAGATGCTATATTTGTTCCTGAAATTGGTGTATTTCTATATTCCATCAGCATTAATTGTAATTCAATTTTTGATTCATCACTTTTTTTTAAAATTTGTTTGGCTATTCCTACACATTTTTCTGCAAATCCATTGCTTTTTGGGTAATATGGACTTGACCTTGTTATTATAAAATCCCAATCTTTACTAAATAGTTCTATTTTTTTAGAATCAAATGGCATATTATCTGCTCTCATTTCTCTAGGTATTCCATGTATTGAAAAAATATTTTTCAACACTCTTATTATGTTTTCAGAATTTTTTGACTTTAGTTTTACTAATTCGATCCATTTTGAATAATAGTCCCCAAGCACCATATATGAGTTGTTTTTGTATTCTAAAATATCGCATCCATTTTTTTGAAATGGAAGGTCAGGTTGTTCTTCTATTATCATTGGTTGTTTACAATTTTTGTAACTAAATTTTTCACACACTCTACACTTAGCTATTACATTTTCTATTTCATCATTCATGTTAGGCCAGTAAAATAGCATTCTTGGTCGGCCTTTTGTATTAACTATTCCAAGGTGCGATTCATGTAATTTACTCAAAATTATTGATCTCATTGTTTTTGGAACTATAATACGGTTTTCTAAAAATACTAACTCTTCTTCTACATAAATATTGTTTCTTTGGTTAAAATAAAATTTTATAATCTCCGGTACCTTTGTTTTTGAATTCGGCCATCCATGTATATACATATTTTTTAACTCTACTTTTTTTTACTCTTGTTCACCATATGTCCTACTTGATTTACATCTGGTATTGTTTCACGATGTTCAGACTTTGAACATGCCCTACTTATTGCATCTGCCATGTACATTTCCTTTCCTGCGACATACACTACTTCAATGTCATATACCTAAGCTTAATTTTAGTTTAATTCGTTGTAATCTTTTTGATGAAATTTGATTAATATCTTTTTTCATTAGTGAAATAAGTGGCAAATGGTCTGTTTGTACAGTAGTTTTTTGCCCATAAATGAACTGATAAAATTTATTACAGGCAAACTAAATTGCTAAAAATTCTTTATCAATTTGCCAATAATTACATTCCACCGGTGATAGACTTTTTGAGGCATTTGGTTTTCCATTTTGTAATAACACACACCCTATACCATTCATGCTACTATCTGTTTGTATCGTACTCTTGAGATTTGGATTGAAATTTTGTAACACTGGTTCACTTGTTATTATATTTTTTAATTTTCTAATACATTCTGTATGAGTATTATTCCATATGAACTCTGCATTTTTCTTAATTAATTGTCTTAATGGAGATGTTATTTCAGCTACATAAAATTACGAAGATAGTTTACTAATCCCAAAAATCTTTGCAAATCTTTTTTATTCTTTGGTTGATCATAATTTTCTATCGCAGTAATTCTACTTTTATCGGGTTGTACTTTACCTTCACTAAATCTGTGTCCTAAATATTTTATTTCATTGAGCATATATTGAAATTTATTTTTGTTGAACTTTATATTATTTGCCCTAGCTCTTTCAAGTACTTAAATTAATATTTTATTATGTTCTTCTTCTGCTTCAGCATGTATTAATATGTCATCTACATATATAAAAACACCTTTTATATCTTTAAACAATTCTGTATTATACTTCTGAAATACTTCTGCGGCTACTGATATACCAAATGGTAGTCTATTAAACGAATAACACCCTTAAATTGTAGAAAATGTACAATATTCTGAGCTTTTCTTATCCAAAGGTATATGAAAAAATCCATCCTTTAAATCTAAGAAACTGAATATTTTCGATCCTCCTAACTCAGCTGATAAATCATTTAATGTTGGTAACGAAAAGTATTCCTTTTTTATTGCCATATTTAAATCCTTTGGATCCAGACATATTCTTATTGATCCATTTTGTTTTTCCACTATTACTATTTTATTTACCCAGCTGGTGGGTTCGTTAATTTTAGATATAATTCCAAGTTCAGTTAAACGACTTAGTTCTTCTTTTAACTTTTCTTTTACTTTAATTGGAACTCTGTGTGGAGGTTTTGATATGGGCATATGATTTTATTTTAATTTAATTGAATATGGTTCCTTAAAACAACCTACCCCTCTAAACACATCTCTATATTTATGCATTACTTCAATTTTCTTTATATTTGATTTCTTTAGTTCATTAACTGCTGTTCTATTTATTAATTTTAGTTTGAGACAGGTTTCTAAGCCTAGGATAAATACTGCATCATTTTTTGCAACAATAAAGTTTTCATGAGACATGGTGTTTTTGTTATTTAATATTACTTAATTTATGTTTTAACAATATTACCTTTCAAATCTAAAATATAAATTTCTATTTTTTGAAACCGATTTTTACTCACTGGTCTATATATCATTTTAAGAGGTTTATTCAAAGCATTATTAGAATTATATTGAAATACAAATACAACTTCATCATAATGAGATACCTCATCAATATTATGTGTAATAGATTCTTCAATTATATTACAATGTACTTCTAATATTTTGTTGTTATTATTTAATGATGAATTTTCTCCATAATGTGTATATATTGTATCAATCCCTCCTAAACTTAAATTTAAATCTTTATCAAATGAAAAATAATCTTTTGTTGTTATTTTAATATAATTACCATTATTTTCAAACTTCATAATCGAATTTTATTAATAAGATTTTAAAAAATGACGCTTGAAATGAAATAGCAAGTGAATTTTCCAATCACATTTCAACTGCAATCACGCCGGATGAGTGTAGAAATAAAATGGTGTCGATACAAGCTGCACATAGGAGAGAAAAATGAAAATAAGGAAAAGTATAGGAACCGGTTCAGGAAAGTACATATTACCTAAACTAAATTATTTAATGGTTAAACATTAAATTTGTTTTCTCAGGTACTCAAGACGTGTATAGGTCATCATGGTTTGCATTTGAAAGCCTTGAATTTTTAAAGAACAAAGATAATCCTCTTCAGAGAAGATGCACGGTAAATTTATAAATTATTATACAGATATTAGTAATTTAAAAAATATTGAAATATTTTTATTCCATGTTATTTACAGTAAAAATTAGTAAAATAACTAATAATTCCATTTTTTTAAATATTTATAATATTTTTAAAATATTTAGATTATGCATATTTTTCTTGCCAAATAACATTTCCTTCATTAATACAGTATTGCATTATTTCTTCTCGTATTTGCATCGCATTCGTTGTAGATTTACGTGGTACCCTCTTTATTGGTCTGAGGGATGATATTTCTTCATTATTGGTCTCCCGCCATGTTCCTTCAATAAAGTTTCCATTTACTTCAGAGTCGAATATTCCATTGGGTGTATAAACAGCAGCTGAGGTATTATTTCTTCTTAAAAAATTATGAAGGTGTGCTATGGTCATAACAATTAGTTCTGATTTTTCTGGGTTCAATAACAGTGGCTTTCGGATAACTCTAAAAACAGATGAAATAATACCGAAAACATTTTCCACCACCCGACGGGCTCGAGAAAGTCTATAGTTACCTATATATTCGTTCTAGTGTGCCTTTAGAAAATAAGCCAGAAAAAGGTTTCATTATGTTGTCCGTTAAAGGAAATGCCCCATCACCAATAAAAAAAAAAAAATGGTATTTCTTTACGTCTGCCCGGTAGTGGTGCTAATAATGGTAAACCTAGTGAATTGGATTTTAATTTTTTATTAAGTTGACAATCTTGAAATACACCTCCGTCTGAAATTCTTCCTTGGCAACCTGCATCGACGAATATGAAATTATAGTTCGCGTCGACAACAGCAAATAACACAATACTGAATGAAGATTTGTAGTTAAAATATTCACTCCCGGTATTGATAGGAGCTTGAATTACCACATGTTTTCCATCGATAGAACCCAATGTGTGCGGAAAGTTCCACTTAGTTTCAAAATCATTTGCTATTCCCAACCTTTTTTCTGGTGTATTAGGTACCTGAAGTAACATATACAATAATTGAATAATAGCATTACAATGTAATGATACAAAAGTCGCGTAAGCGGATATAGCTCTGCTATACACTAGGTTCCAAGTGGGCAAGGATGGAAAACGTTTTTAAAAAACGTTATTAAACGGAAAAAAACCAAAAATGAAAACAATTAATAAAACAAAAAACAAATTAAAAACGATAACCAAAAATCCCAAAAACCGAAAAAAATTTAATAACGAAATCAAAAACAAAAATAAATTATAGTACTATACATTATTAAATTATTTTTACCACGGAAAAAAATTTCACTGAAGTCTTTACTTTTAAATCTATATTAATGTACTTTTAAGATTTAAAAGCATTTTAATTTTAAATCAGTAATTTTGAATTTTCTAATTTTTATATAAATTATAATTTTGATTTAAATTTTAAATATTAAGAATAATTAATTTTAATTTTTAACTTTTAAGTGCATTTCTATATTGCGCGTTATGATTTTAACTTAAAAGTTATAAGCTAAAGAATATAATATAAAAAAAAAAAGTTAACCAAAAGCGATATATTTTAAATCAATAAATAAAAACGAAAACGAAATAATTAAAAACGTTTTCCGTTCCTGCAAGTGGGTAACTGTAATGGATAGAATTCAATTTGAAATCAATGATATATAATATATTGTCTAATTATTATTATTATCATATGATAATGTCAGTCTAGGCTCTAGGATATTTTATTTATTTATAATTTTTAATTTTTTTTCACATTTTTATTTTATAGTATATATATTATATTATATTTATTGAAAAAACTACTCGTAAGATAACATAATACGTACCTATTTAATAATAATAATATAGAACATAAATAAAATATTGATTACACAAAAGTATAAAATAATAATTATGAATTATAATGTTGTCAAAAATTGAACTTATATAATTCATATAAAAAAAAGAAAGAGGATAAGTGGATGTATCTCTGCTGTACAGTAGGTTACAAGTGGGTCATTGTATAATGGATTGTATTAAGCTTGAATTCAATGATATTCTATCATTGTATAAGAAAAACGATTCTGGGCGGAGACGGTTCGTCAGTCTGGATATTTTATATTCTCATTAATTATTATATCATTTAAGTTGAATTAATATTATAAATTAAAATCCAGTTTTTAGCGGCTTAATATTTTTCAACTGCTATTTAAGCAATATAAATTTTTTTATGAATTTCTAATTCAAAATAATTTTGCACATTTAAACGTATTTTGTTAAAACTCAAAGTTTTAATGCTTATTATAAAAAAATGATGACTTTATAGGTATTTTTTAAAAAAGAAACTAAAAAAAATTGAAAATTGACTATGTCCGCAAACAACTCAAAAAGAGTCAAAATTGTATGGTGTATAGAAAATGAAAATATAAACATTCAGTACAATTGTCATGTACCTATCTACAGTTATTTGTTTTTGAATTACAACAAAATAACAAAATCCTTATAATATTACGAGAAATTTTAATTTTAAATTGACTTTCTTCTAACCATTTTTTTTTTTTTTTTGATAAAGTTAGACAAACTTATGAGGAATCTTATATAACATTTTCAATTCTTAGATTTAAAAAGAAACATTTTTACGAATTTCTAACTCAAAATAATTTTTTTTCAAAACATTTTTTTGAATTTTACGCCTTTTCTAAAAATTCGAACTTTAAATGCTTATAAAAAAAATAAGTATGTGTGTTACCAGTACGCGCGCGGGAAGTTAAACTTCTTTTGAATGGTACACGTGAGTGAGTGAAAAAGAAAGAAAAAATATTAATTCATTTGAAAAATTGAGAAGAAGTATCCGGAATTATTTTGTATTGATAGTTTTATTATTTTTTTTATATTTTTATTCGACAGATCGATGGATAATTGTTTGTAGTATTGTTTTTATCCAGACAATAGATTTGTGAGTGAATAATAATAATAAAAATAAATAATAATCGATCATTAATTATTCATATTAATTAGTATGGCCCGATTATAATATATAATATATAATATATATATATATTATAATATATAATATATATATATTATAATATATAATAAAACAACATTACCATGACAATATTTATTTATTTACGGACATGTACGTTTTCGCGTTCGTACGGCCGCCCGTTCGCTTTTTTTTTCCTCACTACCATGCGTAAAGAAGTATAACTTCAAAAATTGTGACTATGAATTTTTACAATTTTTCATCTTTTTGAAAAAATAAATAAGGAGCCTTGTATTAAGTTGTCAAGCTTTTTTACTCAACAAATAAAGTTTTATCGACATTCATAGAAAAAAAACTAATAAAATTGGAATGCAGTAAAAATGAATATTAACTACTTATAAATATAATTATCCTCCATGTTAAATCAATCATAATAATAATTTTGTGGTATCATTATCATATTTTACTTACCTATATTATTAGTTTTTTTTTTCCCCAGTTTGAGCTATATTATTGGTTTAGAACGAAGAGGTTACATTTTCATAACTATTTTTATTTCTTCTTTTGTAAATTATTTACAATCCCCATACTTTATTTTAGATGTCCGATGAAAATGCTCAAAGTGAAAGTAATCAACTGCATACTGATGAACCACAAATTACTCCAGAAAATCAAGATACATCAACGCCGACATCAGAAAAAAGGAAAATTATCAACGAAGATAATAGTAAATTGGATAAAGCCTTTAAAATTCTGGAGTCGGCGGCATCGGCCTCAGCTGAAAAGACTGAAAGTCAATCATTTGGACAGTTTGTTGGAAAGAAATTAGAAACATACAACCAACAAGTTAGAAGTATTGTGCAATATGAAATGTCAAATATTTTATTTAAAGCAGATTCTGGATATTTTAATCAACAACTCACATCAACTTATCAAAATAACCACTACCGTTATAATTCTGATCCATCAAATTATAATCCACATAATTATCCGACAAACATACACACTTCACTGTCACACACATTGCCAGCTCGTGAGACTAATATTACATATTTACCAGTACCACAAACATCACCAGCTACAATTACACACACATCTACACCACATACATTACCTGCAAATACGTATACCTCAGAAGAATTGGATTTTAGTGACATTATAGTGTGATTATATTTATTTTTTAACTTTGAATAATATTTTGTATTTTGTTGAGTTTTATTGAAGATGATTTTTTTTTTATTTATTTGATTTTTTATGTGGCAAGTAGCTGTATTTTTTACAAATTTATTGTAATATTTATATTACATTTTTGATATTAAGTAATTATTATTTAATTTTGTGAGAAAAAAAAAGTTGTTTTTTTTTTCACTTTTAACAATAAGTCTAAATATGATTGTTTTTGTTTATTTATTTTATTTTTATGTAGCTATATTCTATGCAAATTTATTTTAATTTTAATATAATATTTTTACCTGAATGTTATCTTTTAAAACATCAATAATTGCTTCACACACTTCAGGAACTATGTTGCTTATAACTTGTTTGGACATTCTGAACAAATATTGTAAGCTTGTGAATGATTAGCCAGTTACAAGAAATCTGGTACTGCTAGCCTTTCCTGCACTGAAATCGGTTCTCTTAAGATTGTTTCACTTTTAACAATTTTAGGCCCAATCAAATTTATAAGAAAATCAAAATCTGTTGATGTCATTCTCATAAAATTTTGAAATTGTCAATTTATTTCTTGTATCCTTAAATCTTGTAATAAAGTGTTTCCTCCTGTCTCTTCACGCCGAGTATATAAATGCGTTGCCCACCATCGTCTTCGTCTTTTACTCTTTTTCTTCAGAGCGAGATGAATATAAATGTACGCAGCAGCAGCTATTTGGAGGGACATGATTAGTGTCTATACTCGGACACTGTGAAAGTAACACTGACGTTTTTAATGGAAAAATTTAAATGTTACATGTTCCATGTACATGTTTCAGGTACATGTTTCAGGTACATGTTACAACTTTAATTTCTGTTGTAACATTTTTTCAAACTGTTACATGTTACAAGTTCACCGTTTTGTTACCCTAGTGTGTACGCACCTTTACCCATAAACACTGAAGAAAGTCTAAAAGAAATTGAGAACAAATTATTAACAGATAATTCATACTTCATGTTGACAGTATAGTTATTATTTATTAATTAGTAACATAAAATGTTATACATATATAATATAATATATACAGTTTTTTTTTGTTTTCAAAATTTTTTTTAATAAATGTAGGTTTATTTTTTTATGTAACTATTCAACATACCTATATCTATATATATAAAGGAAAGTGTACTTTACCAAGAATCAACGCCCAGACCAAACCGCTGGGTCTAGAGACTTGAAATTTTATATAGAGGTTCCTTAAGCAATGAAGGGGCGCACTAAGAAAGTATTTTCGAAAATTCGACCTACAAGGGGGTAAAAGTGGGGATGAAAGAATATGACAGTGGCGCCATCTATCAAGCAATATTTAATTTAAATACACAATATTGATATTAAAATGAGTGAAATAAAATAAAAATAATTTATATAATTATAACAATTGAGACATCTCTAGGGCAATTAATATATCAACTCGATGTACAGGCTAATACAGTATAATCTATGGTTAATCGGGCATGTTTGTTTTTTTTTGTTTATATTACCCGGAACACGTTGGATAATTATTTAAAATATTATATTTATTCAATTTAATTGTTTGAATATTTTTTTTAAAAATGTCATCGATTGAAGATATTTTTGTCAATGGAATGTTGACACCTCAAATAGTTGTACCAATTATCGGTGATGGTGTCTGCCTTTTCCGTTCAATATCATTTAATTTGTTTAACACTCAAGAAAGATGTCAGGAGATCCGAAATACAATTGTTTCTTATGTGTCTGATAATTGGAATACTTTATTACTATGTCTTACATTTCAAATGGTGACAACTTCATGGTCATCACTAAAGCCAACAATTATATGCCCTAAAAATCTATAAAATATGTATGCAGTTATGCCCTAAAAATTACCAAAATATGCCCTTAAAATATGCTCTAAAAAAAATGTTATTGTACAAAAATGAATAAATGATTTATTTTTTTTATGTATTATACAATTTATACTATAATAATACAATATTATTATTTATTGCCAATGAATAATGATTTACAAAAATGTGTGATATTAAAAAATATTTAAAATTAAAAAACAAAAACATTAATCAGATGATAAACATTTTAATTTTTACCCGATGTTATTACATTGAACAATTAATGATTTGTATAAGTTTTCAAACAGCATTGAGCGTCGATTGTCCGTTAACAAATTTTTGTAGCGTGAAAAGGAACGTTGTACATCAACGGATGTAATAGGTGCGTATTTATAATGTAACAAATCGTTGCTGGTCAAATTTTCTGGAATACCTTCTAATGTGGATACTTCACCGGATAATACTTTAGAAATTTTCGTAAGAATATGAAAACCATTATTTTTTTTAAAAACATCTTCACATTTTTTATTAATATCAGTGCCATTTGTACCACTAACTTCACATATTTTACTTCGCGCAGTTTCTATTAATTTAATTGAGTCAGCTAGTAAAACATTCTGGCTTTCTAAAGATGTTATGGTAGTTGGTAAAAATCCATAGTTTGAATAAATAAAAGTTAAATTTGCTTCAACTTGATCTTGAGAAATTAATTTTTGAACTTTGTCTATTGAAACGGCGTCTTCAGGGTTCAATTTCTGTATTACATTTCGAATAGCTTCTATATGTTCGCAATAATACATTGAAGCAGAAATCCATGTACCCCATCTTGTTAATATAGGCGTTGGAGGCAATGGTATACCTGGAGCCTCAGTTTTAAACAAATCAATACGACTTGGCGCTTTTAAAAATATTTTTTTTGTGTTTGAGACAAGTTCGTCAATTTTTGGAAATTGATCACGAATTTTTTCTGCCACCCGGTGTAGCCCATGGGCCACACAAGTAACGTGGACCATTTTTGGATAAAAAGCTTGTAAACAATTAGCTGCCTTGACCATATATGGAGCGGCATCGCTCAAAAACAAAAGTACATCAGGATGTCGGATTCCATTAGGACATAATGTAAAAAGAGCTTTATCAACAATTTGACATATTGTAGAGTGGTTGGTTTTTTCGAGAATACCGGAAAAAATTAAAAATATTTTACCTGGTTCATCGGCATTTAAAATACCAATAATTACGTTTGCAATATAACGAGATTGTACGTCAGTAGTTTCGTCGATCGAAATCCAGATTTTCTTATCAAGCACTTTTTTTCGTATGGCGTCCATTGTCTCATTATAGCACTCATTGACATAGGTACTTCTTAATAAAGATACTGATGGAATATCTTTATGCGTATACTTTTTAGAAACGAACGAAAATAGGTATTTTGTAATTTATTTAATGGTATATTGGCTGCTAACAACGTTTTGCACAAATCTTTATTGAAAGAATTAATTTTTGATGTAGTAGGTAAAAGTTGTTGAGTCTTTTGTTGTTGGTCGCCGAGTCGTTGAATACCACGTGAGTGCTTAGACGTTTTAAGATGTTGTAAAACTGTAAATCGTTTTTCACATGTAACCTTTGCCTCACATATTTTACAAAACAATATATTCCCATCCGAAGAAAATATATTTTCTCCAAATTCAGAGATGTAACTATTGATACGACTAGTGTTGGAAGTTCTCACTTTCGGCATTTTAAAACGGTCGATTTAATAACGCACCACACGAGTATAAAGACCGACTGACGACTGTAATAGGTGCGATATAATATAATATGATATTTATCTGAGATAAATTATCTCTATGCGATACTGTTACCGATATACGGACATATAATTGTTGTAAGATTAGATAACCACTTTTCATAAATGAGCTGAAGGTATCAATAATAAGGTATATGAGTGAAACAAATTAATATTTTGTAATTCCCGAGTTTTTAAGATCTTAAATCCAAAAATATGCTCCAAAAATATACTAAATGCTAAAATATGCCCTAAAAATGCAAAAATACCATAATATGCAAAAATATGCGAAATAAAATTTTGTATACAGCATCGTTAGGTTATAAAACAAATTTTGGTATTAACTAGCTATTTTTTTGACCAACCAATAAAAATATGCAAATGCATACAAGTGTTGGCCCTAATTATTACTATTTGAAGAAGCGCTCGAGTATAATATTTATATATACGCGGTGCGAATATTATATGATTACGTATGCATTGAATGTGTTTAACCCATATGGCTAAATAGTCACAGCTCGCTACAATACTTATGATATTAATAATTAAAATCGAAATGTAATAATAATTAAAATATTTTTTAATAGAATTGTTCTATTAAAAATAAAAATCGAAATGCAAAAAAATGTATAAAAAGAAATTGAATACCTGAGTTAAATGAATTGAAAATTATAATAAAAGAATGGAAACTATAAAAAATTTTAATAAGGTACAAGAAAAAGAAATGCAAAACGAAATAGAAAAATCAATATTAAATAATGAAATCTTTGTTAAGTTCTGTAAATATGAATACTTTAATATTAATAATAAACATTTTATTAAAATCATGAAATGTATAATAAAAAAAAAAATTAATAAGGTATATGAAAATGAAATGCAAAACGATATAGAAAAATCAATATTAAATAATGAAATCTTTGTTAAGTTCTTTAAATATAAATACTTTAATATTAATAATAAAAAAAATATTAAAATCATGAAATATAATCTAAATAAAATTCCAATTAAAGGGAATATTTTAATTGTCGATCATGGAATTAATATTTATGGAAATGGAAAGCCTTATGCTTCTAAAATATTAGAATCGCCAACATGGCTTGAAATTTGTAAAATAGCTAATGATTTAATAAATACAACCGGTACTTATGGTTTCAAATATCTAAATGATACTTGTGTTTTTCAAGATTTAGGATATATTAAAATATGTTGTCTTAGCATGGGAGGTACAGATGCCGATCATAAGATGCTTAGAATGTAATAATAATAATATAATTAAATTTTTTAATAGAATTGTTCTATTAAAAAAATGTTCAATATTTAACGCTCACCCGAATAGGGGACGCGTAATTAAAATCCAAAAATCTTT